TTTTTGCGGGACACGTAGCTCCATCCTGCCGCTTTCTGGCTTTCTTGGCATCAGCCAGTGCTTCCGCCTAGATCTCTGCTGACAGCCCCAGCACCAGGCAAGTTGCTGTTCAGCCCTGTTCAGGCAGGTCACAGAGGCTTTTCAGCCCGGCAAAGATCTCCTATTTGGTGGGTTGTAGAGGGCTTGGGTGAAGCACTGTATCCAAACCCAAGTCCTACAGTGGGAGATCCCTCGGTCCTACAGTTAGTTGCATGCACCTCCTGGGTGGGGCAGTGTCCCTCCTTGCCTCAACTTGCCCTATTTGGTTTATACCCACTGTCCAACCAGACCCACAAAATGAAACTGGTACCTAGTTTGGAATTGTGGAGACCACTCAGCTTCTGTATCTCTCTTGCTGGGAGCTGTGTTCCAGAGCTGCCTCTTATTCAGCCATCTTGGGATCCCCCTCAACAACCAATCTTTCTTCTTTTCTCATCTTGTTTGTTTTTCTTGCTTTATTGCACTGCTTTAAATCCTACTTTATAGGATTTCAAATCATTTACATTTGTAATGGATTTTAAAGACCCTGACTATAATCTGCCTGGGTTACTGTTTCATGTCTCCTGTTGTTGGGTAAAATGTTTTACAGATGTCAATTAGGTAAAGCTGGCTGACAGTATTGTTCAAGGCTTCTATAGCCTTACTGACGTTCTGCCTGCTTGTTCTATTAATTGCTAAGAGGAGTGCTGAAGTCTTGTCTCCAAATATAACTGTGGATTTGTCTAGTTCTCTTTTCAGATCTCTGTTATTAATTCATGCATTTTGAAGCATGTTCTTGGGGCATAAATATTTATAATTTTTATATCTTGTTGGTAAATTGACTGCTGTGTATTTCTCTTTTCAGGGAGGAGAGGGAAATGAATGCAGGGGTGCCCATTTTCTTTGGCCATATTCTGTTGTTTAATTGCTGTTTCTTAAGCTGGATACCAAGCTCATTAATTTTCAGTGATTTTTATAACACTATTACGGTAAATTAAAAAGGAAAGTGAAATGTGATCCTATAAGTATGCTTTTTAAAAAAAATCAGCAATGCCAACTGAGTCACAATGATCTCTTTTCTGATCACCAATATTTTCATTACTTAAAACATCTATATCTTGGCTAGGAGTGGTGGCTCACATCTGTAATCCCAACATTTTGAGAGGCCAAGGTGGGCAGATCAATCAACGTCAGGAGTTCAAGACTAGCCTGAACAGCATGGTGAAACCCCATCTACAAAAATTAGCCAGGCATGATGGAGGCTGCCTGTAATCCCAGCTACTCAAGAGGCTGAAGTGTGAGAATCGCTTGAACCCAGGAGGCAGAGGCAGCAGTGAGCCAAGTTGCTACCATTGCACTCCAGCCTGGAAAACAGAGTTATGAGACTCTGTCTTGGAAAAAATATATATATTTCCTATATTTGAAGGTATCTTTCTCAAGTAGTTTTTCTCTGAGATTAAAAATAACCACATTGAGTTCTACCTTATATGCATTTTAATGATGTTTTTCTTAACTCTCATTCAACATTTTAATGTACATTTGGTGTTTTCAAGATCTAATCTGCACTTAGGCCAGCATGCAAAATGCAACCTTAACAAAATGTTCTACATGGAATTTTCATTCATTAACTCTTTGCCCTTTAAAATACAGCCCACCAGCTGCTTCACTCTACTGAGAACCACTCAATGAAGACATCATATAAAAGGAAAATATTATTTACAGCTTGCCCACATGCACTGTACATCTGTGTTCATCTCAGATAAAAGGTTACAATGCAGGTCTAAAGGGTAATGTGAAAATTACTAACCAGCTTCAACTAAGTAAGGAATGTACTTATAGATCAAGGGCAAATGGAGAAATACAGTGGAGTCAAAAGCAAAGAGTATACGAACACAGTCATTACTATTAACTATAAACATTAATTTTCTTGAGATGTTACCATTGACTATTTTTTTTAAAAGGTGATTTTTTTATGACTGCTAAAAAAAACCTCTCATTTCTTCTAGATTTCCTATCACATTTGTTGGTGGTAGTTTCTAACCTTTTCTATAACCAGAATATCATTCGTACCCCGTTTACTCTCCAGCTGATGACCTTACTTTATTTACACGGAAGAATAAGACCAGTTGATACACTCCATCAACTTCCCTTTGCTGTGTCTTAACTATTTCCTGTGTATTCCCACACTGCTGAGGGGTATGACTTTCTCTGTCACCATCCTTTGGTTCAAATATATATCTTCTTTCCGCCAATGAGTTACTTTTTCAATTGTGTCTTTGAGTTCCTATTTGCCTCTCTCTGCATACCACCATGCAAACTCTAGGATCCAAGTCATACCTAAATATGCCCCCTCACTCTTCAAACATTTTTAAAGCACCTAACTCATTGGATTACTATGAGACAGAAAGTTAAGTAAAAATCCAGCTCTCCTTTCAGGAAACTCACAAACTGTTGGGAAACATGAACAGGTAAACAAATAATTATAATCAAGCGTAACAAAGTTAAGAGCAAGGGCATGTAAAATACAGTCATGTTATAAATGAAAGAGAACTTGATTCTGCTTGGTTAAAGAGATACTTCCTTTCTTTTATATCTTCATCAAGCCCATCCTATCTGACAGTTCTTTTCTTCTCCTCTTCCTAAAAATAGGCTCAGGTCTTAAACCCAGAAATCAATAACCCCATGATGCTTAAGCTAATACCACTCTAACATCCTCTTTACTGGCACTATTTTTTTTTTTTTTTCTTGAGACGGGGTCTCACTCCACTGCCAGTGCTGGAGGACAGTGGCATGATCACAGCTCACTGCAGCCTCAGCTTCCCAGGCTCAGGTGATTCTCCCCTTCAGCCTCCTGAGTAGCTGGGGCTAGATGTGCACACCACCACACCCTGCTAATTTTTTGTAGAGACTGATTTTTGCCATGATGCTCAGGCTGGTCTTGAATGCCTGGGCTCAAGCAATCTGCCTGCCTCAGCCTCCCTAAGTGTTAGCATTACAGGCACAAGCCACTGCACCTGGCCTGGCACATTTTTGAAAAGGTAATTTACTGTCTTTCATTCACTATTTTTTAAGCAACTATAATCTTGCTTTTGGTTTCCACCATTTTACTGACACCTCACCAAAGTCAAAGTCAAATAATCCTCTCAGCATATCTAATCACCTTTTCTCAGTTCTCTTCATTAGAGAAAGAAAAAAAAAATCTGTGCTACAAGGATCTCTGTGGAACTTACTCTCTTCTCAAAATTTTCTCCTTGACTTTTGTGATACTTCACTTCCCTGAAGTATTTTCTCCTTCTCTCCCCATTTCTGTTCAGTCTTCACTGATCCCACCTCCTGTCAATGCTTGACAAAGAGAAGGATTAGCCAAGATTCCATTTTGAAACACAACTTTTGACTCCTTACTTTTTCTCTCCCCCAGCAAACTCATGATAATAAGCTCTAAAGTAGAGTGGAGTTCAGAAGGCCTGGCTTCAATTTTTGGTTCTATCACTGACTTCCTACCTATGCACCATGGCATGTTACCTCCTTGGACTCCATAAAAGAGAATGGCTTTCTAATATTCTTACCTATGCTACAATTCTAACTGAAAAGACCATCAGATTTCTAGTCCTAAATTCTCTAATGCCCCAAATCCACATTAATGCCATTTAACGGAAGGCATAATATGTTAACACAGATAGGTTAAGAGCTTGAAATTTTTTTTAAAAGGTGATCCTTTATGATTTCTTAAAAAAAAAAAAGTCGCTAATTATTTCTAGATTCCCTATCAAATTTGTTAGCAACAGTTTCTAATCACTAAAATTAAGTCTCCCAAACCAAAACCAGCTATACTTTCTTTAAGTTACCTATTAGTATTTATGTGTTGGCACCACCGTTATCCTAAGCTTGATAGTCTTTCATTTGCGCATTCTCTCTCCCTAATTCCCAACCTTCGTGCAAGGCCTAATTCAAAGGGCATCTCTTCCATAAAGGGTTCCTTGACCTCTTCAGCTGGTTATATAGTCTTTCTCTCATCAGAAGACCCAAGACAATCTTGGTTTATGTTCTGTTTTTTTTCCAGACCCTGGTTTTGTGGGAGCAGGATTTATATCTGATTCTTCCTTGTATAACCTGTAGCACCTTGAACACTGTTTTGCTCAAAGCACTAAAAAAACTCTGTAACATTTGTTATCTGAACTTTGGACACAGAAGCAGTAGTAAAGTTGTCAAGAGTAGCAATCTTCTTTAAATAAAAATAACTACTTAAAGATGTATGATGATTTAGATGTTCTAACTCTAAAATATATAATGTTCTTCTTAAGCTAAGGAAGCAGAAGTTCTTTCCCAGTTCCTTCAAAATTCCAGTCAACTTGTAAGCACACTATAGAAAATAGTCTTTGCTATGTCACAATATTAATTTTTTAAAGGCAGACTTACTAAAAAATGTACTCTTAAATATTTGGTTTTACAATTTGAGCATTTCTTTCTTATTTCCTTTGTTCATAAGACAAAGTATTTTGACAAACCATTAGGCCTACCATGAGAAGTGCAGATTAAACATAGCAATAACTGATGACTATCAGAACATTCAGCCAGTACATACTACATTATCATCTGCTCAGAAAATAATTTCCCAAAATTAAATATGCTGTCACTAATTTTAAGCTTCATTAATAAGCTTCCATGCATTGCTCAAAGATTTTATTTTTAAAGATGTAGTCCTCAATTGAGATAGCAAAACAAATTAAGGCAGGGAAAAAGGTTTCCAGCTTCCTTTATGACTAGGAAAAATTAAAATGCAGTTTAGCAGACAGAAGAACTAAAATTTCCTAAGAGTCTAAACCAGTAAAGTCAAGGTTTTCGCTTAATTCATCTTGACGATAAGATGTCTGGTATGAGCCCTGACAAGCAGTACACAGCATCATTGCAAGAACATTAAATAAAACTGAGACATCTGTCTGAGGCCTCATTATTGCAGATGCAGAGAACAGAATCTAACCTACCTGGCTTATCCCTCCAGAAGAGATCTTGTATGACTGCAACTTTTGCTTCAGCAGCTCCGGATCACTGTGACGGAATGGGCACCCTGACAACAAAAAATAAGCCAGCACACAAACAAGGTTATTTACCCACAACTGAGCACAATACCACACTCGAGGGACCATCTAAGCTTCCCTTAGTTGTCTAGCAGCTTATTAATAAAAAAGGTAATTGCCCATGGGTACAACTGCTTTCTTCTTTTTATCTAAATGATGACTTAGCTGTGTGGTTATCAGGGCACTACAGGCACAAGAGTTACATAAAACATTGCAGCATTCTCAGGCTAAGATGTCCATTCAACAGGAAGAAGGGAAATGGCTTTAATTACGTTCCTTGCTAACAAGCTCAAAGAATCACAAAATAGCTGCATAATAGTTTATTTTAAAACTTTATACAATCTTATTATGTTCTAGACTAAAAAATACATAAAATGTATATGAGAGAAGGAAGATAATGTAAACAAGAAAAACATGCAAACTCTGAGAAATATAAACATTTAACATCATTTTCAAAGGTAAACTATATGCCTATTTCCTAAAGCATAGAATCTATAAAAATTTTTAAAGAATCATGGATGGAAATGAGATAAACAAATAAAAGGCTACTAGAAATATTCACATAAATAAGAATACAGAAGAAATATAAAAATTGTTTTAGGATAAAATCCATAAAATTTACATATTTTAATAAGAAACTGCAATGGTAATTTCGAAATACTTACTTGAAAATTTAATATAGAAAAGTCTTATTTTCTTCAGTCATATAGACAGATCTGTAAGTTAATTAGAAATAACTGCATTTTTCACAAATTAGAAAATCTAGAGGAAATGAGTAAGTTCCAGGAAATATACAACCCTCTGAGACTGAACCAGGAAGTGAAAATCTGGGCAGACCAATAATGAGGTCTGAAATTAAATCAATAACAAAAAGCCTATCAACCAGAAAAAGCCCTGGAACAGGCAGATTCACAGCCAAATTCTACCAGATGTACAAAGAAGAACTGGTACCAACCCTACCAAAACTATTCCAAAAAACTGAGAAGGAGAGACTCCCCATTAACTCAATTTATGAAGCTAGCATCACCCTGATACCAAAATCTGGCAGAGACACAATGAAAAAAGAAAACTTCTGGCCATTATCTCTGATGATAATGGAATCAAAAATCCTCAGCAAAATACTAGCAAACTGAATCCAGCAGCACATCAAAAAGCTAATTCACCATTATCAAATAATCTTTATTTCTGGGATGCGAGTCTGACTCAACACATGCGAATCAATAAAAGTGATTCATCATCACATCAACAGAATTAAAAACAAAAACCATATTATCATTTCAATAGACAGAAAAAGCTTTCAATAAAATCCAGTATCCCTTCATGATAAAAACTCTCAGAAAACCAGGTACCAAAGGAATATACCTCAAAATTATAAGAACTAACATCATACTGGATGGGCAAAAGCGCAAATCATTTCCCTTGAGAACTGGAACAAGACAAGGATGCCCACTCTCACCATTCTTATTCAAAATACTGCTAGAACTCCTAGCCAGAGCAATCAGGCTAAAGAAAGAAATAAATGGCATGGTGGTTCACGCCTGTAATCCTAGCACTTTGGGAGGCCAAGGCAGGTAGATCACCTGAGGTCAGGAGTTTTGAGACCAGCCTGGCCAACAGAGTGAAATCCCGTCTCTCCTAAAAATATAAAAAATTAGCCTGGCATGATGGTGCACAGCTGTAATCTCAGCTACTCAGGAGGCTGAAGCAGGAAAATCACTTGAACCCGGGAGGTGGAGGTTGCAGTGAGCTGAGATCATGCTATTGCATTTCAGCCTGGATAACAAGAGCAAAACTTCGTCTCAAAAAAGAAATAAAAAATATCCAAATAGAAAAAGAAGTCAAACTATCTTTCTTTTCTGATGTGATTCTATACCTAGAAACCCCTAAAGAATCTGTCAAAAGGCTCCTAGAACTAATAAATAACTTCAGTGAAGTCATATTTGTACATATTAATGTACAAATATTAGTAGCATTTCTTTTTTCTTTGTTAGACAGAGTCTTAATCTGTCACCGGTGCAGTGGTGCAATCTCGGCTCACTGCAACCTCTGCCTCCTGGGTTTTGTAGTGCATGCAATTCTTGTATCTCAGCCTCCTGACTAGCTGGAATATAGGCACATGCCAGCATGCCTGGCTAATTTTTGTTTTTTAATTTCAGTAGAGATGAGGTTGCACCCTTTTGGCCAGGCTGGTCTTGAATTCCTGACCTCAAGTGATCTACCCACATTGGCCTCCCAAAGTACTGGCATTACTGGCATGATCTACCACGCCCAGCCTTAAAAATCAGTATCATTTCTATATACCAACAATGTTCAAGCTGAGAGCCAAACCATAAACGCAATGCTGTTTACAATAGGCACACACACACACACAAAATATCTGGGAATATATCTAAGCAAGGAAGTAAAGATCTCTACAAGAAGAACTACAAATGCTGCGGAAAGAAATCAGAGACAACACAAACAGAAAAACATTCCAGGCTCATGGATTGAAAGAATCAACATACCATCCTAAGTAATGTACAGATTCAGTATTATTCCTATCAAACTACCCATATTATTTTTCACAGAATAAGAAAACAACTATTCTAAAATTCATTTGGAACTTAAAAGGAGCCTAAATAACCAAAGCAATCCTAAGCAAAAGGAACGAAGCCAGAGGCATCACTCTACCTAACTCCAAACTATACTACAAGGCCATCATAACTAAAACAGCATCGTACTGGTACAAAAACAGACACACAAAAAAAACACTAGGGGTGAAAAAAAAACCAGAACACAATACCCAAGAACTGCGGGACAACTATAAAAGGTATAACATATGTGTAACTGAAATACCAAAAGGAAAAAAAAGAACAGAAGCACAGATGGGGAGAAAACATTTGCAAAAAAGAAATCTGATAAACTACTGTTATGCAAAATACACAATGAACTCTTGAAATTCAACATAAGAAAACGACCTGATTTTAAAATAGCAAAAGACCCTTCACCAAAGAAGACATCCAGAAGGCAAGTATGCTTATGAAAAGGCTTCAACATAATGCCAGTAGGGTATTGTAAATAAAAACATGGATTGGAAGAATCAACATATCATCCTAAGTAATGTACAGATTACAAAGAAATACCCCTACACATCTATTAGAATGGCCAAAATACAAAACATGACAACACCAAATGCTTTAAGAATTTGTAGTGACATGAACTCTCATTCATCGCTGGTGGGAATGAAAAATGGTACAGCCACTTTGCCACTTTATGATCCAGTAATCCTGTTCCGTGGTATTAACCCAAACAAAATGAAAACTTCTATCTAACACAACAACCTCCACACAGATATTTACAGCACCTTAATCACAACTGTCAAAGCTTGGAAGCAACTAAGATGTCCCTCAGAAGGTCAAAGAATAAATAATCTGTGGTGCATCTAGACAATGCGATATATATTCAGGGCAAAAAAGAAATCCATTAAGAAGCCAAGAAAAGATATGAAGGAAACTTAAATGCATATTAGCGAGTTCAGAAGTCAATTTGAAAAGGCTATATGATTCCAACTATATGACATTCCTTAAAAAGGTAGAGCTATAGAGACAGTTAAAGGATAAGTGGTTGCCAGAGATTAGGGGGAGACAAGGATGAACAGGTAAAACGCAGGATTTTTAGGGCAATGAAACTATTCTTCAGAACACTACAATGGTAAGATACCTGTCATTAAAAATATGCCCAAACCCATATAATATACAACACCAAGAATTCACCCTAATGTAAACTATGGGCTTTGAATGATAGGATGTGTCAATGTAGGTTCATCGATTGTAACACATGTACAAGTGTCGTATGGGATATTGACACTGATTCAGGTTGTACGTGTGTCAGGGTATGGAGGTATATGGGAACTCTGAACTTACATGATTGTGCTGTGAACCTAAAACAGCTCTAAAAAATTGCTTATTAATTTTTTAAAAAGGGGTAAGTAAATTTTTCCAACAAATAATGAGTTTACTGAGTGCTAAGGATAATATTTCTTGAATGACAGAGTTTAACTTAAATACAAAATAGTAGCAGAATGCACTGGGATAAACAAGATACAATTTAACAGAAATAAAGTTTTGCATTTAAACTAATAAAAACCAACTGATTAAGAGATAAATGCTAAAACCTGGACATTTACAGACAAATCCCTGGGAGTTTTACTTGGCCACAAGCTTAATCATAGGTTAACTGCCTGGTATGGCTGCTAGGTTAAGAAAAACTTCAGCCTTCCTCAACAGAAGTATCTGGATCTATGGTTTTCAAACTTTAGAAGACATAAAACTCACCCAGGGCACTTGCAAATAAAGTCTGATTTTATATGACAGAGGGTGGGCCCTGAGAATCTGCATTTCTAAAAAAGCACCTCAAGGGATTCTGACACAAGTGGTAAAAACCACTCAATATACATTACCAAACCAGGAGTGGTGGCTCAGGCCTGTAATCCTAGCACTTTGTGGGTAGATCACCTGAGGCCAGGAATTAGAGACCAGCCTGGCCAAAAGGGCAAAACCCCGTCTCTACCAAAAATACAAAAAATTAGCCCAGTGGGTGCCTATAATCCCAGCTACTCAGAAGGATGAGGCAGGAAAATTCTGGAACCCAGGAGGCGGAGACTGCAGTGAGCCAAGATCATGCCTTTGCACTCCAACCTGGGAAACAACAGTGAAATTCCATCTCAAAAAAATTATCTATCTATCTATCTATCTATCTATCTAGATCTCTCTCTCTCTCTCTCTCTCTCTCTGTCTACCTACCTACCTACCTACCTATCTACCTATCTACCTATCTAAAACTAGTGCTGGCCACCTCTTTATCTATTAACTAATGAATGTATAGGTATTTTTTACTGCTTTGGACACATGGAATGTCTTTCTAAAAATATTGTTTATGATTATTTGATCTTTAACAGCCCAAAAGTGTGCAGTCTTTTGAAAAGTGTTTCATTTACAATTCTAAAACAAAAGCACTTCTCACACGTACTTAAGTAAGCTTTGGTAATCCAGGAGATTTACTGATATGAACTATTAAATCATTCTTGGATATACCAAACAAATGAGATGGTCTGTTTTTCTTTTTAACTAACTCGGGAAAATTGATAGTTATGGCTGATACCATGGCGTGTTAAATTGCCCATTTAATCTTTTTGGTTCATCAGATGATGATGATGATGATGATGATGATGATAAGAAAAAAAAACCTACACTTTTCCTTAGTAATTAGCCTTTGGAATATTAATCTACTATTCCAAAATTAGAATATTCTAATTTCAAAAAGCTCTGTAAAACTTGTATCAACCATCTAAGACACTTGCAGAAAAAACTGCAGAAGAGTGAGACAGAACAGCAGAAAGGAGGAAACTGAGAACTGAAAAGCCTAATCCAACACAAACTGAAGTGCAGCTGAATGAATTTCTCTGGCCTGACCTAGTTCAGTAATAAGACAAATTGCTGTAAGAGTAATGGAGCTCTAGCTTGACAGTGATGACTGACATAAGCTACAAACTAGGTCCTGACAGTAATGCAAAAAGCCATTACATTGTTTCAGTGTTTCCAACGGAGCTCTTGAATTTCTGTACTTGGCCAGCATATCCACTGGGAGCACTTACCATGATAATCCCCGTGGCTTGGTGGATTGGACAGGATGATCTTCAAGCAACTGAAAGGTGTATAGTCTGTCCTCTTGCCTTCCTTTCCAAAGCTATGACGGATGTTGTAAGAGTAACCTTTATCAAACTGATTGGGAGAAAAAGAAAAAAGAGAAAGTCAGCCAATAATTATACTAGTGAGGTCAGCAACGCAAGCTAGAATCAAAGAGTGCAAAGTGATTATTTATAGAATAAATTCGGCATACATGGGCAGATGTATATTCATGCCATATATATTATTTGGGTCCTTTATGATACAAATAATTTTTTTTAAAAGGTACAAAACTTATAGAAAACAAATTTCTCAGGTGGAAGACAGCTAATATTACTTGCATGTTTAAACAGAGAGAAAATTTTTCCCTGAGAATAACCAATTTGCCCTTCTTAGTTTGATTCCAAAGATTATACTAGGAGAAAATCAGTTTAGCCTCTTTTCTATCCACCTTCCCCTAATTCTCCATGAATTCCCATATCTACCCATTGTACTTCCGAAACATCTACTAACACAGTTAATCCTAGGCCAGGTGCAATGGCTCACGCCTGTAATCCCAGCACTTTAGGAGGCTAAGAAAAGACAATCACTTGAGCCCAGGAGTTCAAGACCAGCCTGGGTAACATAGTGAGACTCCATCTCTACAAAAAAATTAAAAACTACCTGGGCATGGTTGTGTGCACCTGTAGTCCCAGCTACTCAGGAGCCTCAGGTAGAATCACCGCTTGAGCCCAAGAGGTTGAGGCTACAGTGAGCCATGATTGTGCCACTGCACTTGAGCCTGGGCAATACAGTGAGACCCTGTCTCAAAATATAATAAAAATCATCATCATCAACATCATCCCTTCCCCTGGATTTCCACTATACAAAGTAATCAGCAAATGCTTAAGGAATGAAATGCTACAACTGCCTCCTACCCGGAATCCTTGCCTCCATGTTCATAAAACAAGCTAATGAGACCAAAGGGACTTTGAAATGGGTCAGACAGGAGAACAAAAGGAACCAGCATATAATGAAAAGTGACCAGGTGCCAGGCATTTTGCTAGGTGCTTTTAAAAATATAATCCCAAGAGGGATCCAAGATGGCAGATTAGGAGCAGCTCAGGATTGCAGTTCCCAGAGAAGGCATGGAGGGTGAGTGGACGCCGCATTTCCAGAAGGATTTTTATTGCCCACAGACCAGGAGATTCCCAGGCGGAGGAGGCCCACAGGTCACCAGCACGACTGGTTTGGCCCCGGCAGCTGTTTTGGCCGGCGTGGCTGCTTTGCTGGCGCGCCAGTGTAATGGTTCTCCATAAAAAATACACGGGTCCAGGGGCCGTTTTAGCTGGAGACTGGAGCTCCTGGGAGACAGAGTCACCCATTCATCTGATTAAAAAGGGGACTGAAACAGGGAGCCAGGCCAGGAGATTCCTGGGCAAAAAAGTTCCACGAATCTCAGCACGGCTGTTTCAGCCAGTGCAGTGGGTGGCGGCATGGGAAATCACACAGATCCCGGCGCCTTTTCAACAGGCAACTGGAACACCTGGGAGAGAGTTGACTCTGTTCAACCAAAAAAAAAAAAAAAAAAAGGCTCTGAGACAGGAAGCCAGGTGATCAGGTTCGGCTGGTCCCACCCCCACAAAAAAACAGCAATCAGAAACGCTCTGGATTGAGAGTTTCACAGCAAGCACAGCTGAACCTGGGACAGTCCAGATCTGTGGGGGAGGGACGTCCGCCATTACTGAGGCAGTCCACCACTACAGAGGTAGTTTGCCACGGCTCAGGCAGCCCACCATTACAGAGAGAGTCCGCCATTATAGAGGTGGGCCACGATTGTTGAGGCAGTTCTAACTACACCCATATAAACAGGAATGCAGGGAAGTTTACACAGCAGATGGGCAGAGCCCACAGCAGCTCAGCAAAGCCTCTGCAGGCAGTGACTAGACTGCCTCCTCATCGGGCAGGGCAGCCCTGAATAAAGCCAGCAGCACAAGAGAAACTCATAAATAAAGCCCTAACTCCCCAGGACAGAGCACCTGGGAAAACAAAAGAGGTTTATGAGTTCTGTTGCAGCAGACTTAAAACACATCTTCCCAGCAGCTCTGAATGACCAATGGAGCTCACAGCTCAGAACTTGAGATCCTATAAAGGACAGACTGTCTCCTCAAGCAGCTCCCTGACCACCGAATATCCAGTCACCTCATAAAGGAGAGCTCAGACTGACATCTGGCAGGTATCCTTCTGGGACAAAGATGGTAGAAGAAGAAACTGGCAGCAACCCTTACTGTTCTGCAGCCGCTGCAAGTAATCCCCAGGCAAAGAAGGCCTGGAGTGGACCTCAGTGGTCCTACAGCAGAGGGGCGAGACTGTTAGAAGGAAAAGCAAGAAACAGAAAGAAATAACTTCACATTCAACAAATGGGACATCCACTCAAAAACCCAAATTGAAAGTCAACAACTACAAAGAAGATAGGGGAATAAAACCACACAGATGGGAAGAAACCAGTGCAAAAAGGATAAAAACACCTGAAACAAGAATACGTCTCCTCCCACAAGGGATCACAACTCCTCATCAGCAAGGGGAACAAGGCTGGATGGAGAATGAATTGACAGAATCAGGCTTCAGAAGGTGGATAATAAGAAACTTCTGTGAGCTAAAAGAACATGTTCTAACACAATGCAAAGAAGCTAGGAACATTAAAAAAGATTTCACCAAATGCTAATGAGAATACACAACTTAATCATCCTGATACCAAAACCCGGCAGAGACTCAACAAGAAAAGAAACTTCAGGCCAATATCCATGATGAACATAGACGCAAAAATCTTCAATAAAATACTGGCAAGCCAATTGCAACAGCATATTAAAAAGCTTATCCACCATGATCAAGCAGGCTTCATCCCAGGGATGCAAGGCTGGTTCAACATATGCAAGTCTATAAACGTAATTCACCACATAAACAGAACCAAAGACAAAAACCACATGATTATCTCAATTGATGCAGAGAAGGCCTTTGACAAAATTCAACAGCCCTTTAT